GAAACCTAATGAAATATTGCGGTATAACATAACTGAAATTATAAAAGAAATAATATATAGGGTAATAGCTACGTCTAATTAATAAGTCCGTCTCTCCGTCCAATTACCGATATTATAATTAATTTTGTTTACTTAGTGGAATATATAGTTCACGATACGCACTTCATTTAGCAGAAATCACGATCGACACTTCGTCCCTCGTTGACATTTAAATTTAATTAAGACGCATTTAGGTACATCATCGTGCATTATTCAAAATGTAATGAAAACGTTCTTGAAATATTATGTTGAGGTTGGATCGTTGGGCAGTAATTCGTTAAGATTAAATAATAATTTTTTATAATTCAACATTAAAATGATTTTAATTTACCTTCCCTCTATCTTATCTTATCGWATCAGTAGGGTYAGAATTTGTAAGCATTGATTATGGTTCATCTGCATCGTTCTTTTAGAAAATTTGAATAGTAATGTCCACAAATCAACTCAGATTGRTACAAAATAATCTAATTGTTATTTCATCAGCAGTATTCAAATTTTAATTTATTTTAGCATTTAACTTTTAGCAAACACGAGTAGGTAAGTTCTATAAATATGATATTGAAAAAAAACGAAATGAATGTTGAAATTGTGTCACAAACACGTTTAGATGTTGACCTCACAATAGTAATTAATATACTAATTATTGTGTTAATCAAATTTTGAAAATTATTAAAATTTCAAACTTCTAAAACATAACAAAATGTGAAATATTTAATTCACTGATACTATATAGAATAAAAGTATTGTATTAGAAAATAATTATATTGCTTACAATATTTTATAAATGTTTAAAAATTTAAAATACGGTAGGTATATAAGACATAAAATATTATTTTACTATCCAATTAAGATTATTTATTTATTTTTATGTTAATATTTTTAATATTATTTTATTAGTTAACAGTCAAGTATAAATCAAGWTGTAATTATTTAATAGTAAACCAAATTTTTTTTTTATTATTATTATAAAGTGCTCCTGACATACATAGTTATCAAACTTATTGATAAGATAATAACAATTTAKAACATTTAGAATAATTGGTAAGCGTAATTAGTTACAATATTTACAACAAATTTCAGTAATTTGAAAACAAATAGTATAGGTACTTGTAGGTACATTTATCATAAGTATATAATTTGATAGCATACTAATTGTATAGAATATGATTGTTAAATAGTTTTAATAAAATTCTTGTTCAAAATTTAGAATTATATTGCTAACCAAAAAATAATATTACAATAAGTGTTATATAAGTTATGGAAGAATTTTGTACTTTGAAAATAATTTAAATATGTATTTATGGTTATTAATTTTAACATGCTTTTTTTCGTTTTCGTTATCTTTACATAGTTTTGCTAACGTAAATAATTTGATCTAGTTATTTTAATCCTACAAAATAATTTCCACTAGTTTGAAAATAATATTTCTTATTTATTTAATAAATATATATACAATGAAAACATTTTGATTTTAAAACAAATTATTATGCAGCAAACGGATTAAGATTTAATATATACATTCACTTTACTCACTTCTTACTGATGATCAAACTGTACACGTGCTTATATGTAAAAAAGTATAAAAGGGCTAAATTTTTTAAAAACAAATACAGAAGTTCTCCTAAGAACCAAACATTTTTAATTGCATAAGCTATAAATGTGTCAAAAGTTAATATAATTTAGATGCCACCTACCAGTGTATATACCTCAATAAAACAAATATACGTATATATTAATAATACATCGTAAACAAATATAACCATAATAAAATTGTTTGTGGATATTGATTATGTTTCATTGAAATTTAAAAGCGTACTACGTACTTTGTTTAGTAACTAATGACAAAGTTATTTTTCTGTCATCGTGTTGTATTTGCTTAAAAAAAATAAAAAAAGTAAGAAAAATAAAGAAATCAGAAGAGTGTACAATTTTATTAATCACATTATGTTATCATTACAGAATTGTTTGAACATTTTATCTACCRGATCGTAAACTTAGAATAAATTGGATAATTAATATTCAGTTTATTTTTGAAAATTCAATTTGATCACTAAAAAAAAGTTAGACTAAAAGTAATGTTTTTAAAAAAAAATATTTATTTTGACGTCAACTAATATTTTAATACTATTTACCTGTATTTTATATGATTTAGGTAGATTTTCCTATAGAAATAAAATCTTGAAAAATAGAATGATATAAACAAAAATGTATGGTGTGTACATTACTATACTATGTCATTTATTTGTTCGCTAGTTACAAAACTATGGCCGTGAATATGTAATTGAAGTGAAATTGTTATATTAAAGGCGTCTATACTATATATTGATTATTGTAATCACTAATCATTGTCGAAAAATGAATCCCAATAAATTTAATTTACTACCGAAAATATGTTTATTCTTATAAGATTATAAACTAAAAAAAAAAAACATTTTATCTTTTGTATAGCATATAAATGTAGAAATAGTTATCTAGAAGTAGATATCTTGAAGTAATGTCACAGTTCAACTCTTACTAAAATTCTAAAAATGTTCTCTTATCAATAATAATGATAAATATCAAGTAAAATTACGTATTTAATATGTTTTCTTAAAAGTTATTTAATAATTTATAAATTATATTACGATATGAACAAAAAATAGAATCTCGACATTTTGTTAGTTTTCATTTTTTAATAGTTATCAATAATTAGGTATTATAATACTAAACCTACATAAGAATATATTCAATAATATACAATGTTGTATACAAGTTTTTAATAGTGTTTATCTCTAGTCATTTAAAAATAAGTATTTACAATATAATGCAAATTGAATGAATGATAATATATATATTATTAAATCTTAATTTAAAAAATAATTACTAGTAGACTGTAAATAATAACTACTTTATATAATCAAAATTGTATACATATATAGAACCATTTAAAATATTTGTTACTTCGGTTTTTAAATACTCGCCATGTTTAAATCGATAATGTAAAAGTAATTTTCTTACTTCGGGTTCTCGCGCCATAATTGAAAATAATGAACACGATTTATCTGTATGAACTTTACAATATTTTAAACCCTTAATGATCTTAACCTTCACATTAGTTAGGATGTGGAAGGTCGTGATTATTATTTAATTTATTAAAAACGTAGATAGGATTTWAAAAAAAAAAACGATGTTTGTGAAATGTAAATCTAATAATAAATTTATAAACCTACATAATGAAATGATAAGAGTTAATAGTGTACCTATATTTAAAAACAATTGTCAACGTCAAAAATTGATTAATTTTAATAATTCGYGTCTGCAAACTTTACTCTTCAAACCGTTACAATATAAATAGTATTATATTATACAGTGTAAATAATATAAGGTGTATGTGATTATTCAATTTTTTTGAAAAGATTCTTTAACTGTAAAATAGATTTAAAACTTTTGCTAATCAATAAAATGTATTTAATTATACCAAATAATATAATATGCACCAAATCAACTCCCAGTTTTTTAGATTGATCGTGAACAGATTTGTAGTTTCATTTTTCAAACTAAACATTACGATTTCGGAACGGTCGTAATAAACTCAAACCAAAATAGCTTGAAAAAAATTATAAAACACAATTGTCCACGAGGCGAATAATGATAAATATTTTTAAAAAAATTCCACTCTGACCACCACTCAAGGCACGCCGTAGTCATCATCAACGGAGATGTATGTTTAATGATGTATGTATTATCAATGTTATTATTGGATACGCATAACATAATGCGATTAAATGACTGAGTTCACAATTTTTCGGCGTCTCACACCATAACGACTAAGGTACGAGTATTTAGTTTTAGTCTGCTGCTGCTGAGAGTGCTGCACGCAGTCTCGTTACAAAAAAAAACGCGCTAACATATTATATATAAGGTACATTACCTAAGTTTACAACTTTAAACGTCCCGTTTACGTCCGCAAACTCGCATCGGTTTTTTCAATACCTTTTTCAGTTTTTTAATTTTTAATTTTAATTTTTAACAGTTGTCAATCGATACCATTTGAACGCCTTTTATAAAAAATAATATAACTAACAGTTTCAAAATGCACAATTTAATAGGAAGCAAATTTAAGGGCCACTGTAGACAATTATTCGCAGCAATTACAGGTTAGTTCATATACTATATATACATTTGTGAGTACCTACCTATCAAATATTAAATGAAATAAAATTTTTATTTTTATTTTATTTTATATATGTTTTAAAAATATTACTTAACCAAGTAAATTTTAGAGCATTTAAAAAATTTGTTCTATACATTTTTAAAATAAATTACGAAACATACTTTATATATTATATACATACACACACGAGGATTATAAATTACCGAATTAAAATTATTTTTTTTTTTTTTTTTTTATTTTAGAACCATCAGCAATAAAACTATTATAGTTCGACATAAAATTATTTTGAAAACATAAAAATGCTTTAAAATATATTTACCAGAAGTATTTTTAAATAACTAATTTTCCATTTTATTTTAGGGATAAAAAAAAATAATTTTTAATATGCATTTRTATTTATGTTCTTTAAAATAATATACAGTATAATATTAAACTATAGTGAATATTTTTGTTTTTTATTTGATTCACTTGAATGTTTTTGGTTAAACGTTTAGTGTAATTACTCGAATTCATTACTTGACATACACATCATTCACTAATAGTTTACACATAATACATTTATCTGTAGTTCATTAAAATAATTGAATCTTATCATAATTTATATGATTTTATTTATGATCCATAACTACGATATAATGATTTATTTAACGTTATTTTACAATATATATTATTTTAACATCTTAATTCGTGCGCTGTCAGTACCTATTACCCATATTTTGTGGAAAAAGCTGGATACTTATATACGTATTCTTTAATAGGTTTAATTGATTTTAAGCGGAACTAGTGGTATTACTATATTCTACAATGTATGTGTTTTTCTGTTCATTTTGGGGGAGACATTTTTTTTCGTGGGTGGGAGGAAGGGTATTAAAGTGGTTCAATAGTTTCGTTATTAACCTGTCTGTATACGGATTAGCAACAGAACACAGAGAAGGTATGCTACATTATAGCTCATAATAAAGCAGTTGATTATTGAAATTGTCCGTCAGTTATCAATAACTTGTTGTTTATGTTATTGTTATTATCACAGTTATAATATCTTCTCATGACTATCGAAACCACCTACCTCCCACGTATTTGTATTCGTTGAGACTCGAATCTACCTTTAGGCTTTAGTGTGACTATGTCTACGCAGCTCAATATGCGCAACTACGCACCGGTCAGTATAAAACGGATGGACATGGATATTATAATTCGAACGGGTCATCGTTTTGTTTAAATCGCAACATTAAACATTAATTATACATTTATACATATGCCTAACCAAACACACGCACGCCGCTAACACAGGTACCAGGTATACGTTTAAAACAAATAATGCGTCGTAATACACAATGTTATTTATGTACGTCAATCGTAATACGGTAACGCGACGAATTAAAAACGATCAACGCTGTTCAGAATCTCTCGCGCCTCTGTATTTATTTTTATTTATTTTAATAGCGATGGCCAATATATCTGCGGACCATGTTATAATAAATAATACACCGAGTAGAGCAATTTCGTCATCCGGTCTGATGAGAATATTTTATTGAAACAATCAGACCGTTATTAAAATAATATTAAAACAAAACGACGCATAATATTATAACATTATAATAATTATTATTGTCGTGTTCGCTAAAATCAGTTACGCGTGGATTATTATCTAGATATAATATTATAATATTGACGCATTGGAATATTCGATAATTTACAATATATTAATAATAWTATTATATATAGATGCACCAAATAACAAGAAGTTGCAGAGTTGTCGGGAATGCTTAACGAACCATTCGGAAAGTAYTTCTGCTGTRGCTATTAGCCATACCTATAGGTCGACCGGCAAGGGTAGGTACATCGACCGAATTGGAGTTCTCGAGTTARGTCKTAAAAAACGCTCGTCGAAAAGCGTCGTTCCGATAAAATGCATATCTATATCATGATGTCTAAATAAGGTATTAAGGTACCCTACGTAGCGGAGTGACAAACGTTATATGATATTTTAAAGGTGTTCAGTGTTCACATAATATACCTACGACATAAATTACGCGCAATTCGTTTACATTATATTTTATATGATATATATATATGGTATATTGTAAGGTACCTATGTACGACGGTCGATTTACGTTTGAGATAATACTATTATAATGTTTAAATTTATAWAAACCGTACCGTACGGTATACAACCGACATGGTGTATAAATTACGAGGAGACCCGAGGACAGGAAAATTGAAATTATCGTGGGGTATCGCAGTTACACGCATGCATATAATATGCAATATGCACATTGCACATGCATAAAATACCTTTAGGTACCTACGCCGTAAGAACGCACCGACTGCAGCGGTGAGCGACTAAACAACACTGAACACACGTCGTGCGTGTCAGTATGACACCGTAAATTTCAAAATAAATCGCCATAATAATAATAATAATAACATGCACCTCGCACACGTTCCCAGCGCGGTCCACACCGTCTCGTCATTCTCCCTTCCCMACGACSATTCCACCATCACCACTTATACCAACACCCTCCACCATAGCCGACGATAATATAATATGTGCGATCATAATATGAAAATATATCGTATTTGCCGCGGTGTATTAATAATAATTATTTGGTACCAGAACAGATTATAGTAATATTATTTTCAAATATTTATCTCATATAGGTACTGCGGAGTGACGTTATTTGCATAGGTACCTCTGCATAATATTCTGGCGTTAATCGCGGACGTCGGATTAAATCGTGAACGGTACGCCAATAACTGTTATTGTAATAAAGGTACTCTATATCGTTCCAATATGACCATATTTAATAATAATATATAGCTGATGGCACATATATGTATAACAGTTTGTACTCATAATAAAAGTTCGTTTATTRTACTAATGATTTACATCTGTGTCGTTTGCACGTGATCGGTATGCACAATAATATTATAATTAATAAACATTAAACATTTTATACGTTTTTAACTTTTGTAATATCGAAAGCGTAATTTGCGATTATTTTTCGTCCGCCTATTGCACGGAGAAAAACAATATCTCGTCGAACGGTAACCCAATTTCTAATGAGTAGAATTTAAAAAAAATTAACTAAGTAACAACATTTAACGGAAATAGACATATACCTACACAATTATCCGATAATGCTTTATTACGGTCATAGGTACTCACAATTATACATATATAAATATAATAACATATAATAATATAGTAATCATGAAGTGGTCACGCGTTTTGAGATGTACCCAATATATACTGGTTGATTATAATTTAGTTATATTATATTACGATAATAAACTATAAAATAAACAGTAACGACTGGAAGTATATACGTACTATATAAGAACATCGTTCAACCTGCGCTGACTGCTGTGTATAAACGGGTATGATTCGTGTAAAAATATGTCCTCGYGATTCATCTAATCTAAAATAAGAAGCTATTATTTATGTTACACATCATACGAGTAATATTATATTTAAACCCATATACGATTTTAAGAGGATGCCATACTGCAGGCATTTGCTATCTCCGTCTTGCAAACGTAAAGTATAAGAAAATAGTATCTATAGGGCACCTCAGAGGATTCTATTGATATTATTTTATTTAAGTAATTTATGACCATTTTTAAGCTGTTAATTGTCATACCAGTGCACATTTTAAAACGATTATAACTTACTTAAAAATAATAATATCAATAAAGTCCAATGTCCAAATTATTAGTTTTCTTACGTAGGTCCCGACCGTTTTAAATATTATTCTTTTATCCGAAAAGAATATCGTTCACGTCGTTGTATGCAACCAATGCGTTATTGAAATCCAAAAATAAACAAATATCAACATTATTAATTCGGGCATAAGAAAGTTCTCTGAGATTGTGAGATTTRTTTCTTTATTCYCTTCGTGTCTGATATATTCAATACTATGCGGAAAAATAAACAAATATTATTATCAATACGTCGAAAAGTTTATACTTAAAATTATTCCAGAGGCTATAGTAGAAGAGACACGAGGATAAACTCTGTGGAGCATCTATTTTTTCTCGTGGGACTACCTCACTAATCCACACYTCTATACACGCAAGTTTGCAGCTATTATAATTATTTATAATATCAGACAAAATATTAATTTACAAGTTCTTTATCATTTTTTATAACCAAATTTTACGAAAACTGGTTTCTACTTCTATTGCACAACAAAATTTAATAATATATTTATAAAATAAATTAAAACTTTTAAGTAATTATTTATTTTACTTAAAATCAGATAGATATATTAATTGTTCTTGTCGTAGTACAGTTACTTCAGAATCTGAAACAGTCAATTTAGTAATTTATGGCTAGAATAGCATTTGATTATAAATGCTAATTTATATAAATACTATTATTATTAATATCTACACCGCGGTATCTATATCATAAATCATAATATATACACATAGATTCTACCTATGGAAATCGTTAAGTTAAAATATGTAATTTTGATTTTGATTTTAAAACTGAAAAGAAATTATTGGCGATAAACATAATGGTGCCGCGTTTATTAATCTCATTCGACTTAKATATTTTTTTTTTGTGCAAGAAAATAAAAACAAAATTAACCGCTACACAAACTTACCGGGGCTTGTGCTGTCTGACCGTAACTAAAAAAAAGCTTTTGCGATGTATCCGACGTATAATAAGAGAGAGAAATACCGATATCCATAATTATCAATTTGCGTATAAGGTATTATATGTAAAATATGTTAAATGCCAAAATATATAATTTTACTAATGTATACATTGTAAGTACTATGGTATTCACATGGTTTATCTATAACGAACGGAACGCTTTTTATACCAGTTTTCCTTGTGTTAGCATTATATTATGGGAAATTGAATCCCAGTCGGTACGTATAGATGCATGGTGCACGTTGCATTACTACAGCATAATATAGCATTTAAGATGACCTAGATAATCAAATCAATAACCGATTAACATAAATGTTTTGTTTAAATTATTTTAAGAACCCAACACGCATATTATTATTGTTATCACCACCAACTGCCCGCGCAAAACGCTGCTCAGACCGTTTAAAATTTTTAACWAGACACAATCAATTACATTTAATATGACGCRTTTTGTATTTTTTATTTTATTTTTTGTCTACGTTAAACGATCGCATTAATACTGTAGGCTAYTTTGCAGCCTACCTACCTATAGCAAGCCCACCTACTAAAAAAATTATACAATTGAATAGTTTTTCAGCAGCTGTTTTACGATAAGTGAAATAAATTACACGATATATTACACAGCGTATGCCATAACTTTTATATATTATTTAAAAAAAAAAAACACCACATAGGTAATCGTTATTATTATTCGGCGAACGTGTTAAAAAATAAAAATAAAAACCAACAACGAACGCGTTATTGTGTGTACGTACCTAAATACAATTTATATTTTACACGACTTTTGCTACATTTTAGTTTCCGAGTATTATTATAAAAATATGGGAGATGACGCCCATCATGATATTTAAWTACAGACGATTTAGCAGAAGAGATTTTATTCAAAAATTAATCAACAGTATTGAAAACAAAACAAAAATGTTTTACACATTTTTTTAATTGTAATGCAAATTCGAATTAAACGGATTAAGTACCCACAACCATTTAATTTTCAAATGGAACTAATTACTATCTTTTGTTATGGTAATKAATAATTTAAGAATAATGTTTTATACTGCTTTTCATCACAGCTCTCAGCTATTTTAAAATTAAAATTMACATTTTTATAATTGTTGATAAATTATAATTTTTTTTTATCCAAAATGTATAAATCTATATTCTATAAGTTACTAGTTGAAACATATTAWGGATTTTTAATATTAATAATTCAATTTTTTCAAACTTTGAATCATTATGATTAATGAAAACGATTAAMTGATATGAGGGATTGAAGCATTTATTGATATAGTTTTGAACAAATGAAATTATCTGCGATAACTAATTTGTATTACACAATGTAGGCCACCAATTTAAAATTGAAATTCTAATCTGTTTTAAAAAACGAAGTAGGAAAACCCAAACAAAAATGACAAATATTTTCAGTTATACTATCTAGTATATTATATAGTATATAGTAGGTAGTACTAGTAACGATGCCTATTTTATTCAGGGAAAAATCATCCTATACGACWACTACTTTAGTACTCGCGATTGTCTGTCAGTCAAAACTTTCAATCCTGTGGTTATACGTTAAGAATTAAGTGATTTTATATAAATGCAATCCCAAAAACGTGGTAATTCTTGATTATCAAATGCTACACGCGTTACTATATTATACAGTTGAAATAGAATTCGTTTTTTGATAAGATGTAACGAAATTCACTATCATCACATATTTTAACTAGACAATCGGTTTTAATGAAAAAAAAAAAACCTAAGACATAATGTTTCATGATATTCAGTTATTAAGAAGAAATTTCGAATTTTTTTACAGCAAAATAATTAGATACTCTATTTTATGTGTGGTTAAATATTGACATGTACAAATTAAAAAACATAATATTTTATTTATAAACGTGTATACCACTAACAGTATAGGTGCTAAATGCTAATAATGGTTATCATTCGAAAAAATGTTTGTGTCGCGACATGAGTACACGACTACACTGCTTACCTATTGTATGTAGATTCCATGAACGATTTAAATGTTTAAAATAATGATCTGATATAACTTCAAAATTCCAAAAACCTTAATTTGAAAAAATATAAAGTTTAAGAAAAATGTTACGGTGAGATGGGGGAGGGGGTAGACGTGATCATGCTCGGCGAATCACTGCATATCTATAGTATAGCGCATTTCTACACTGAAAGACGTGTTCGAAACAACACGGGACAGTTATCTCGTATGTTGAAGTTGAATATTATGTTGTTCATAATAATTCGACTATTAACCGCATCACATCAACGTCCAATATTATGTATATATAGGTAAACAAAATGTATACCTACAATAATAATATTAATATAATATACTATTTAATAATGTCGTGACGACGCACTTGATCCGGTCATAAATTGACGGTCATATTGTCATGCGACCAACAGGAAACCATAATCAACGGCGTTAATAGTGACAAATTATTTGATTATTATTTTTATATACCTACCATTGTTTCAGTGAATCTCGTTACGTTTTCATTTGGACTTTACACGGGATGGACTTCGACGGTTGCGCCCATACTGCAAAACTATACCACGACTCCACTGGACCATGGTCACGTGCTGACGGACAACTCTATATCTTGGGCCTGCAGCTGGGGTATGCTCAGCGCCATACTGGGCACGTTTTTCTGGGGCATGTTGGCGGACAACTACGGCCGGAAGACGACCGGTTTCCTGACCATGTTACCGTACCTGGTCAGCTGGATCATCCTGATGGCAGTCAAGACGGAGACGGCGCTGATGGTGTCCCGGTTCCTGGGCGGTCTGGGGGCCAGCGGGGCGGCCATCAACTGTCCCATGTTCGTGGGTGAAGTGAGCGAGGAGGCCATGAAGGCCGGCYTAGGCTCGTTATTCATACTCATGTACAACATCGGCGTACTTTACGTGTACGTGTTCGGCGTGGTGGTCGACTATGACATGCTGAACGTGGCCTGTATAGCCATCAGCGTGCTGTTCATGGCGGTGTGGTGGTACGTGCCCGAATCGCCGATATTCCTCATCCAGAAGAATCGAATGGAAGACGCGAGGCGGTCGCTCATGTGGTTCCGGGGTAAGGACAACGACAAAGATGTGAGCGATGAGATGGACTTGCTGATGCGGCACAGCGACCAGACGACCAAGGCCACGCTGGCCGACTACAAGAAACTCGGCACGGTCAAGGCGCTGCTCATCGGCCTGGTGTTCCAGGCGGGCACGCAGTTCAGCGGCATCAACATCATACTTATGTACACCGTGGACATATTCCAGAAGAGCGGCAGCACCTTGTCCCCGCACTCGTGCACCATACTTGTGGGCGTGGTGCAGGTCATCGGGTCCGCGATCGCGTCGTGCACGGTGCACAGGGCCGGCCGCAAGTTCTGGCTGATGGCCACGTACGGGGTCACCGCCCTGGCGTTGATCACCATCGGCACGTGTTTCTACGCCAACAAGGTAAACGCGGAGTTCAACACCGGCATAGTGCCCGTGATCAGCCTGTCGGTGCACGTGATCGCGTTTTCGTTGGGCCTGGGTATGGTGCCGTACATCATCTACACCGAAGTGTTCCCGGCCAACGTGCGCAACATATGCATGTCCATGCTGATGTTCTTCAACAACGTGCTGGGCTTCACCATCATCAAAGCGTACCCGTCCATGTCGGACGCGCTRCACATATCCGGCTGCTTCTGGTTGTTCGGCGCCGTGTGCCTGGCCGTCGTGCCGTACACCTACCTGTTCGTGCCCGAGACCAAGGACAAGGCGTACGACGAGATCCGCCGCGAGCTGCTGCTGTGGTTTCCGGACAGGCGGCGCAATGGCAAGGCGGCGGCGGCGGCGGCGGCGGAAAAGGCGGCGGCGGCGGAAAAGGCGGCGGCCGTAGACCAGGTGGACGGCGGCAACGTGGTCGTGGTCGAAGCTAGTGAGATGAAAGTCTGCATGGGAAAGGATCAGAGTTGCTTCACGACAACACTGCAGCCACACACGCGTGACAACGTCAAATAATAACCGGACACATGGGGTTATACGTTCCTGTACGTGTACACTGCCACGGCACGTACCTATACACGAATAAAGGCCACTACTATATATTATTATTATTATTATTGATTATTATATATAGTGTCAATAATATCTATAAATATAACTGATTTATGTTTGGGGAGGGGGGAGGGAGAGTGGGAAAATGTAAAAAAAAAGACGAGTAGAAAACCCTACCTTTTTTGTATTTTTTGTATTTTATTCCACCAAGTTCGTTT